GTGGAATCTAATGAACAAAATAAATTAACAAACAAAATAGAAACAGACACATAGAGAAGAGACTGACAGCTGTCAGAGGGAAGGGGTTTGTAGGGCTGGGTGAAAGGTGAAAGGATTAAACAAAGAACAAAAACAACTCATAACAGTATGGAGTTTCCTCAAAAAAATTAAAAATGGAACTCCCATTTAACCCAGTAATCCCACTTCTAGGAATATATCCCAAGAAATCAGAAACACTAATCAGAAAGGACCTATGCACCCCCATGTTCATAGCAGCACAATTTACAATAGCTAAGATTTGGAAACAGCCTAAGTGCCCATCAGTAGATGAGTGGATTAAAAAACTGTGGTACATCTACACAATGGAATACTATGCTGCTGTAAAAAAGAAGGAATTCTTACCATTCGCAACAGCATGGATGGACCTGGAGAGCATTATGCTAAGCGAAGTAAGCCAGTTGGAGAAAGATAAATAACACATGATCTCACTCATTTGTGGAATATAATCAACAAAAATAGAGCCAGAGCCAGAGAAGCATTGAACAGACTGTCAAACTTCAGAGGGAAGGCAGGGGAGAGAGCATTAAAGATCAACCGAAGGGCCGAAACCGGTTTGGCTCAGTGGATAGAGCGTCGGCCTGCGGACTGAAAGGTCCCAGGTTCGATTCCGGTCAAGGGCATGTACCTTGGTTGCAGGCACATCCCCAGTGGGGAGTGTGCAGGAGGCAGCTGGTCGATGTTTCTCTCTCATCGATGTTTCTAACTCTCTATCTCTCTCCTTTCCTCTCTGTAAAAACTCAATAAAATATATTTAAAAAAAAAAAAAAAAAAAAAGATCAACCGAAGGACTTGTATGCATGCATATAAGCCTAACCAATGGACACAGACACTAGGGGCGTGAGGGCATGTGCTGGGGGTGGGGGTGGCCGGGGAGAGGTCAAGGGGGAAGACGGAGACATATGTAACACTATACGTAATACTTTAAACAATAAAGAATTAAAAAAATCTAAGAGTGAAAAAACAAACAAACAAAATAAACAAAAAACAACAGCTCATAGACACAGGCATCACTATAGTGATGACCAAAGGGAAAAGGTGTGGGAAAGGTACAAGAGGGCATAAGGGGATACATGGTGACGGAAGGAGATTTGACTTGGGGTGGTGAACACACAACACAATGTACAGATGATATGCTATGGAATTGTTCACCTGAAACCTCCACGGTTTTATTGACCAATGTCACCCCAATAGATTCAATTGAAAAAAAAAAAAAAAAAAGAAGAAGGACATTGTGACACATGCTACAACCTGGATGGATCTTGAAGACATGCCCAGTGCAAAAGCCACTCACAAGAAGATTACTATGCGATCTCACTCACATGAGGTCTCTAGGGCCATCGCAGGCAGAGGCGGAAGGTAGGATGGAGGGTAGGAGCGGGGAGGGTTGTGGGATGGGGAGTTGTCCTTTAGTGGGGACAGATTTTCAGTCGGAGAAGATGGGAAGGGTGATGGGAGATGATGGGGGTGATGGCTGCACAACAGTATGGATGTCCCTAACACCACTGCACTGTGCACTGACAAATAGTTAAAATGGTAAATTTCACAATGTATATTTACTGTATGAGACGATCCACAAAAGAAAAAGGAAAAGAAGGCCAGGTCTTAAAACAGAGCGTGGTGGGACGCGCTCAGGCTACGTGACTTCCCGCTCTCAGGAGGCTCTGGACACTCAGTGATGAGCAGAGCCTGGGTGTGAGTTCCGGTGAGCAGCGCTGGACAAGCCTCGGTTCCTTCCTGTCGACCCACAGGCCTATTGAGAGAGCAAGGGATGCTGCGTGGGGGGTCGCCATTGTGTGGTGCGGCTGATGCGGAGGGGTGCGGAGGGGTGCAGACCCAGGCCGGCCGATGCGGGTCACACATCTGAGGACAGCGCAGCCGCTCGCCTGATGCACCGCAACCCCACAGCCAGCCCGCGGAGGCCCCTGAAGGAGCCACTGAGAGGGGCCAACGGGGCTTCAATGGGGGCCGATGTCAATGTTTACATTAATAAAGATTTTAATCCCAAATAACTGATTCCATGTGATAACTGTACTACCACAGAAAACTGGAGAATTTACTTTCTAAAGTGCTGCCTCACAGGGCTGTGTTGTGATGTGTCCACTACAGGACACGTGTTAGGAGCAGATGGCATCCTTGTCCAAGGCTGTCCAGGTCTCGCTGTGACTTTAACGTCATCTGAAGAGGAGACCAAAGGTCTACATTTAAGGCCTTGAGGTTACAATGAAAGAACTCCCTTCCCAGGGCATGCACATTCATATACACCCATTAACAACCACTCATACACGTTGACATTCACAGTCACACACACACATAGTTACACACTCATGCACACATGTACTCACCTTCATACACACTTATGCACACATTCACATATTCAGTCACACATTCATACATTCGCACACACAACGACACAATCATTCAAACACATTGACACACACAGTCGCACACACAGGCATATACACACCTTCAGACTCGCTTACACACATATTCACAGTCACACACACACACACACACACACACACACACGGGCAGGAATGAGAGAGAGAAGTGGGGAAGTCTCTGCTCCTCCAGGAGCTCAGAATAACTGAGGATCTGCAGCGGGAGAGGCCAGGACTTCCTGTCAGAGTCCACTGTATGTGAGGCATGTGGAGAGCAAGGCACCTGTTACAGCTCAGGAAAGCCGTCCACTCCTCTGAGGTTGCTGCCTCCGCTCCCCCTGCCAGATCCCTACTCCACGCACTGGTCACTCTGTGAGTGACATCGCTGCAGGGCTGTGGGCATAGGACTGGCCAGACAAAATGACCTCAAATTAAAAGACAAATAATCTCCACCTTCACAGATGTGTCTTGGAAGTCAGCCCACCGCTGACTACACACAGGTCTCACTCAGGAACATCTTAACCTTATTAGAAATGTCACCTTTTAGATACTGGAAACCTACAATTATTTTTGACAGTAATGTAAATTTTTAAAAATACAGAATTCTTAAAGTTGATTTTTAAATGAACACTAAAGTATTGTAGACTTTCTAATTTAAAAAAAAATTTTTTTAGGAAGTAAAATAAGAAAGTTATTCTAGTATATAAAACTGGGCAAACTATGAAATTGGATCCAAACATAAGATCCAATTTCTAATTTAAGAAACAGTGTAACCTTAAATATAGCACGATAGAATGTAAGAATTGCGGTTTTGACTTTGAAGAGAAATTTAACTCAAATTACTCCATTAGAATTTTCAATTTTGTAACATCTTAGATGGATGTTAGTTGAACCCAATGTGCTAATCATTTTACAATGTACATAAATCAAACCATCATCTGTCTGCCTTAAAATTAGACAGTGGAGTATGTCAATTACTTCTCAACAAAACTGGAAAAAATAAAGAGTGCCTTAAGAAATGGAAAAGAAGTGTGTTAGGCATAGAAAAATGCATACACCATAACTAAAAGGAAACAAACCAGGATACACACATAATAAATGTATCACCTGAAAACTTAAGGCATTTGTACATCTCCATTCACAAACAACAAAAGGAAATACTTAGAAATGCTGACAGTGGTTAACCTTGGATGGTGGAGAGAAGTGGTTTCTTTTACTGTATACTATTCTAGTAAGGACCCTGTATTATGTTGATAATGAGAAAAAAAATATCTTCTGAAAATACCATTTAAGTAACTGTTTTTATAGGTGTAAAATGCACTTTGTATCCATGTCCAGTGACCATCCACTTACCTTTGAGAAACTTAAAAAGTGCTTTGAGTTGTGAAATGTCCTGGGCCGGTGCTTTAAAACGCATTATTGCACCCAAACAGCTTCCTGGTGAGAGCCCTGGGCTTTGGAGAGGCTGGGTCTGCTTGGAAAAGTAATGTGGCAGGGGCTGGGGCTGGGGCAGGAGATGGGGCCGGACAGGGGCTGGGGCTGGGGCAGGAGATGGGGAGGGTAAGAAACCCTGAAGAGAGGCTCCTGGGCAGGATGCCTCAGGTCCACAGCTCAGGCTGTATTGGAAGAATTCCTCACTGGAAGGCTGATGTCTACAGTAAAGGTTCAGATTTGATAACCTTTACACATGAGCCACAGCAAATTTTCTTTAAAAACTGTTTTTGCCATTGTTATCACAAAATCATGCTGTCTAGACCCATAAGAGGAGCATATTTATATATAAAAAAACATTTTTAAAGGATTAAGGTGTCCTAAGTCACAGCTCTATGGTTCTTCCTCAACTGGATCTACAGAGGCTGACAGGAAAGGTAGGAAGTGCCCTGGGCTTGGATTCTCATTTTATCTCTGCTATTAATTAGGAATTTCACTTAACCTTTCTGGCTCTCCTAGCTGCATCTATAGATGAGGGTAAAATTAATTAAGGTTTCTACAAACTCTTTTTTTTAAAAAATATATTTTATTGATTTTTCACAGAGAGGAAGGGAGAGAGATAGAGAGTTAGAAACATCGATGAGAGAGAAACATCGATCAGCTGCCTCCTGCACATCTTCCACTGGGGATGTGCCCGCAACCCAGGTACATGCCCTTGACTGGAATCGAACCCGGGACCTTTCAGTCCGCAGGCCGACGCTCTATCCACTGAGCCAAATCGGTTTTGGCTCTACAAACTCTTAAAACAATAATTCTAGGCTCAGATTTCTACAATCTTCCCAAATGTCTCCTTTCCCTAATTCTCAGCAGTAATAAACTTTTCCTTGGATTAACCTTTGTGGTTTCAACACTTCACAAAAATGTAAACAAACTTTTATACTACTCCTCATCTCAAAAATACACAAATGTCTATGAAACTTTTCCTATAACATTTTGGTAGACTCTATTAAACATTTTTTTAGTAACTGTCCTAGTCTGGCCCCTGCTAGGGACTGGCAGGTTCCCCCCCCCTCCCCCTCCTGGGTGGCATGGAGGGAGGCCGCCCAGGCGGGTGAGCAGGTGGGCACTCACCGTGAGGACAGTGAGGAAGGTGGGCTTGTCCCAGAACTGCAGCCCCAGGACATCAGCTCCATCTCCTCCTCCCAGAAGAGGGAGCGGAACCAGCTCACAGGCCAGAGATGAGCGCCAGCATGGTGATGGCGGGGGACAGGGCAGACGCTCTGGTGACAGTGGCGGCTTCCACAGGAGCGAGCCTTGACCCCCAAGGGTTCCGCTGCCCGCGACACTGGCTGATGGGGGCGGGCTCAACTGCGGGAACCAGGAAGCCGGGTGGGTCACAGGCCTCGCCCGATCCCCCAGGCTTGTCCCCTCCGCCGCAGGGGTGCACCTGGCGTCATTGGGGAGGCCTGCTGGAGGTGCATTTGCCGCTGCAGCGCCACCTGGTAGGGACTTTGCGCAGTACCGTTTGTGTGTGTGTGTGGGGGGGGGGCGGGGGTGGGGGGGGGGGCGTTCCTCTCCCCTGTGTTCCTTTCTACCAGGCCCTCCTTCTTCCCTCATTAGTGTTGGTTATTTCATTCTTTCCACCATTTGTTTATTAACAGTCCACCCCCTGCAGGAAAACGTCAAAACAGGACACTTCTGCATTTGGGCCAACTCAGTGACAAGAGCCAGAATTTTTCATTACATCACTGGTTTGCCCATCATCATGGAACATCAGAGCTTTTGACTTTTGACTTTATTTTATTAAATATTTTACATTAAGAGGTATATTATTTCCATGTAAAATATGTTATTAATTTATCCTGTTATAGTTTGTAGACATTTAGTCATACCAACACATGCCTTCTGTAGATTACTTGCATGAATAAATAATGAATCCAAGTTCTAATTCTGACCATATCTCCTTATCAGTAACAATGGGCAAAGGCTGATTTTATCACCATGAGTCCATTGACCATATGTGTTAACATATTAAGGTTTTTCTACTCATAAATCTTACAGCCAGAGATGCGGATAATAGGAGAAGCATGTTCACTAATTATACATAAAACTGACATATTAGGCTTTCTGAAGTATTAAAATTCTGAACCTAGATGGCATTTTTTCACATTATAGGGATGACTCTGTCACTGTCCTCATATTCACTTGAAGGATGAGTCTGTCCGGATGCAGGGACCTCATTCAGATGAGATCCTTTGTTCCAGCTCCAATTTTCAGTCCTGACTAAGCAGGCAGCAGAGACCAGAAGCACCCACAGTGGGAGAGTGAAGCTGGCAGGAGTGAATATTGCTGAGCTTCTTGCTCTTAGACAGCTTGTGACAATATTGGAGAGCCACCAGGTGTCGCAAGACAGGAGAAGGGAAGGAATGTGGGGAAATACTGGGGAAGAATTGGCAGGTGTCATAAGAGGGGAATGAGAACATTAATAGAAGAGAAGGAGGGAAACCCTGGGGAGTCAGTATCTGATAGATTTATGTGGAAGGAGGAAAAGGGGAGATAAAATCTAGGGGAACTGACAAATGTTATAAAGGAGGGCATGTCATTTTATTATCTATATACCAGGTGTCAGCAAATTATGGTGGGTGGGTGAAATCTGGCCCTTTATCTGGCCCATGAGATAAGAATAATTTTATTCATTTTTTAAAATTAGAAAACAATCAAAAGAATATTTTGCAATACATATAATATAAAATTAAAATTTCAGCGTCCATAATTAAAGTTTGAGTAGCACACAGACATGGACCTTCACTTATATGTTGTCTTTGGCTACTTTCATGCTACAATGGCAGAGTTGAGTAGTTATGGCTGTGATGATATTATTTATAGAGCCAAATCTATTTACAATGAAACCCTTTATATAAGAAGTTTACCCTTGCCGGTTTGGCTCAGTGGATAGAGCATCAGCCTGTGGACCAAAGGGTCCTGTGTTCCATTCCAGTTAAGGGCACTTACCTTGGTTGCAGGCTCCTCCCCGGCCTGGGCCCTGGTCAGGGCATGTGCAGGAGGAAACCAATGATGTGTTTCTCTCACATCGATATTTCTCTCTGTCTTTCCCTCTCTCTTCCACTCTCTCTAAAAATCAATGAAAAGTATCCTAGGGTGAGGGTTAAAAACAGTTTACTGACCTTTGTCCTCCCCAGAGAAGTCGAAGATCATGCTCATCATTATTAGCACGCTATCTGGATTTCAGAGATCTTAAATGTGATATATTACACATCTTAAAATGAACAAAATATGGTACATTTTCATGAATAAAGGAATACAAACATAATTCTGAAATACTTATATGAATCAATATTACACTGCAGTTAAAATCAATAAAGAACAAGATAAAATGAACCAAAAATTACCTAAAATATGATACATGTATATAAATATAGAAAGATGAAATAATACTACATATGGTTGATTGATATATGCATCTACATTAATAAAAGTGAAACATGGTAATTGGCGTAGGACCGTGACCCTTCCCATTGGCTAATCTCCCTGTCACTCACAGAGTAGGGCAGAGATATGCAAATTAACTGGCAGCCAAGATGGTGGCCGGCAGCCAGGCAGCTGATGCGAACAGGGAGGCTTGCTTGCTTCAGTGATGGAGAACTCCAACGTTCCCCGCCTGACTTGCCGGCCTCTCAGCTGCAACTCTAAGCAACTATGTTGCGAATAAAGAAGCTAAAAAACCCCCAGAAACCTGCTTTACTCAGCTGAGATTCAGCCAGCCGGACCGCAACATTGTATCAAATACAGATGGTAAACAAAGGCCAGAAACCTGTTTTCAGCAGCTGAGGCCTCAGAGCTAAAGCTGGTCCAGAATAAAATAAAAAAAAAGAAAAAAAGGAGCGGTTGGGAGCTTCAGTCCCAGCCTGAAAACAGCCCTCAGCCCCTCAGCCAGACTGGCCAGGCACCCCAGTGGGGACCCCCACCCTGAAGGGTGTGTGACCAGCTGCAAACAGCCATCATCCCCTCACCCAGGCTGGCCAGGCACCCCAGTGGGGACCCCCAACCTGATCCAGGACACCCTTCAGGGCAAACCAGCCGGCCCCACCCATGCACCAGGCCTCTATTCTATATAGTAAAAGGGTAATATGCCTCCCAGCACTAGGATCAGCAGAGCCGCCAGGCCTCCTGGCACCGGGATCAGCGTGACAGGGGGCAGCACCCAAACCCCTGATCGCCCTGCAGCTCTGTGTGTGACAGGGGGCAGGGCCCCAACCCCCCCGCTCCCCACGGGCCCTGCTCTGTGTGTGATGGGGTAGAGCCATAACCTCCCCATTGGCCCCGCCCTGAGTGTGACAGTGGCGGCGCCCCAACCCCCTGATTGGCCCTGCTCTGTGGGTGATAGAGGGCGGCGCCCCAACCCCCTGATCCGCCCTGCCCTGAGTGTGACAGGGGGCGGTGCCCCAACTCCCCTATCGGCCCTACTCTGTGAGTGACGGGGGGAGCTCCTCAACCCCCTGATCGGCCCTGCTCTGTGCATGACAGGGGGGAGCTCCCCAACCCCCTGATTGACCCTGCTCTGTGCATGACAAGGTAAGGAGCCCCAACCGCCCGGATGGGCCCTGCTCTGTGCATGACAGGGGGTGGCGCTGCAACCTCCCCATTGACCCTGCCTTGAGTGTGACAGGGGGCAGTGCCCCAACCCCCTAATTGGCCTTACCCTGAGCATGACTGAGGGTGGCATCGCAACCTCCCAATCTGCCCTGCTCTGTGCATGACAGGGGAAGGCGCCCCAACTCCCCAATCGGCCCTGCTCTGAGCCTGACCAGGGGCTGCACCTAGGGATTGGGCCTTCCCTCTGCCACCCGGGAGCAGGCCTAAGCCAGCAGGTCGTTATCTCCTGAGGGGTCCCAGACTGCGAGAGGGCACAGGCCGGGCTGAAGGACCCCCCCCTTCCCCCGAGTGCACAAATTTTTGTGCACCGGGCCTCTAGTATATAATAAAGGATTAAAAACTAAATTGGGAGAATGATTAGAAAATTCATAATGGAAAAGTAATAAGAGAAATGAAACTGAGGAATGTTATAGACTATTATTGTATTGTATTATTTCTTTATTACTGCTATTTACTTATTCTTTTTTTAAAAAAATCCTTACCCAAAGGTATGTTTATTGATGAGAGAGAGAGAGAGAGAGAGAGAAACATCTATGTGAGAAACATCTATTGGCTGCCTCCTTTATGGGCCCCAACTGGGGATCCAACAAGCAAACTTCTTGTCAGGGCATTTCTTTATTTCTTAAAAAGTGAAAATATGAAGAAAGATGGTAAGATATGATTACTGTTTATTCTACATGGTTAGTATATGCTTGTTAAATGTTTTCTGTATCAGAAATATAACATCATAAAAAGGAAAGCAACACAGCTATGGAAGTATTTATTTTTATTTGTTGCCTAAAGAAATGTAAATGGTGGAAATGCAGTTCAGATCTGCAGAGTTACCACTAAAAAAGTAAATATAATTGATGGTAATCTTTGGATTATGATTAGTTATCAGACAATCACTATATTATGACTGGCTTATCTTAAAAGAAAACTACATAACAGCCAATAGCTTTTATAGACTACACCAGGTGTCCTCAAACTTTTTAAACAGGGGGCCAGTTCACTGTCCCTCAGACCGTTGGAGGGCCGGACTATAGTTAAAAAAAAAACAAACTATGAACAAATTCCTATGTACACTGCACATATCTTATTTTGAAGTAAAAAAACAAAACAGGAACAAATACAATATTTGTATTTGCATGTGGCCCGCGGGCCGTAGTTTGAGGACCCCTGGACTACACAATAGATATATTAGAAGAACTAATGTGGTATGCAACAGGGAACTGTCCCAAGACCAAAGATCTAAAGTAGCATCCTGGATATTTGTGTAATATGTCCCAAAGGGTTGTACTTTAGTGATAAATCGCCAATAAATTACGTTTCAAGGCTATTTTTGACATGGGCTCTGCTGAGCCACCTTCCAGAAGCTCTTCACAGTTTGCCATTCTTGGGAAAAAAATGTACCTGACTCCTAAAAGTGATCATTTCCCCATTGTACTAATTCTAGGAATAACACTGAGCCTTACCTGCAACTATTAATATTATTGGACTTGGAAGATAACATGGCATCAGATGTACAAGTTGGGGCATCTTTTGGCAAAGAAAGCTTCTTAAAGCTTAGCCTTGGTTACACCAAGAGTATACATTCCTCTTTT